CGCAATCTCTTTTAATTATCGTAGTTTTTAAAACCGTTATCATGCTAATGTTATTTCTAATAAATAATGCCGTCGTCGTAGTTTAAGTGGGACTTCCTGAGATAAAATATGAAATAATATTCATCATTTAACTTACTTTATACGTTTATTTAATAGATAAACATAATTCAACTCTTGCTTTAATACGATACAAATAATATCGTCCTGTTACCTTCTACGTATAGTCTAATAGAAGAAGAATAAATTGTATATACTTTGTGTATATCACGATAATTAAATTAAAACTATTTTTTTCGTGTTTATTTTCTTTACTAAAACGAAACATGTACTCTGACTTATTTTAATTATATTCTGAGTCAGTTCTGGAGTTAATAAAATATGTAGATACATAAAAATGTTCATTCATTCATTTAGCCACTCTTGGTCCACTGCTGGATATAAGCCTCTTCCAATTTGCGCCACAATACCCGATCCTCCACCTTCCCCATCTTCTTCGAGTCGTCAATCCACCTGGCAGGGGGGCGCCGTAACTTACGACAGCTGAGTCGCGGTCTTCATTCGAGGACTCGTCTTCTCCATCAGCTATCTGTCTTTCGGCAGATATGACCAGCCCATTGCCACTTCAGCGACCTAATTCTGCATAATGATGTCGTCGGCAAACCGAAGGTGCGAGATGTGCTCACCGTTCACTTTTATACCCCGTCCAGCCCAGTCCAGAGTTTTAAATACGTCCTTGGGTGCGTTGGTGACCGGCTTCGGGAATATAACATCTCCTGTCCCACCCCCCGACGCAGCTCTATGGAATTAGTCTTATGGTCCTGGAGCTGGACGGTCATGATGGCGGTATCATATAGCAGAAATATATAACTAATCCAATAGTGACCTAGATTCTAAATCCAAAAAGACCTTTTAATAATCTTCATTCTTGTTTTTCATACCGCATGCATTTTGGATACAGTCTTAGACTGTTATGATAACATAAATGAAATAAAAAAATAAAATTATATGTATAATATGACATAAATGTAAAATATATTTAATTTTCTTTTTCTAAAAGCCACATTGAGTATATTAAAAAATATAATTTATATATTATAACTACAATAAAATATTTGTTTTTGTCTTACATTATTTTAGCCTCTTGTTTATTTAAACAGTAAAATTCCTGCTAAATCAAACACATAGGGTATTTCCCTGTTCCCCAGAATCATTAAATTTGACATCAAGGCAATAGTAGAACAAGTAAATGATAAACTTACGATATTAATCTCAATCTTATTATATACACATACTCGGAAACATAAAGCAAATAAATAACTTAATGAAATATATTCCATTCTATGATTTATTATTAAATCGATAAAATATGTGTTTAATAATTTCAAAGTTCAAAAACTGCAGAAAAAATAATTAAATTAACTAAATTTTTACACATTTTTTATTTAACTTCTTTGCATAGAAATATTCTTAGGTATGATTTAAATTTATAATTGATTTTACTACATATAACAAAAAATGTTAAGCTTAATATTTTAGCAGCGATTCCCGGTAAGTAAAATTATTTTAATCGGCTTTTAAAAAAGAGAAAAGACTTTTAAATGAACGGTATGTTTTTGCAAATGTCGTATTCGATAGGGTTTATTTCCAAATTATTATTTACATTTTGCTATCATCTATCGAGAGGTATTAGTGAGAAAATTTAAACCATAACAAAATGTTTATCAATAACATCATAATAATTAAATTATTTTCAAGTAATATAAAAATCTGTCAAAACATCACATACATGTACTTTATGTAATCCTTTCGGCTTCCGTGGAGTGAATGTTCCCGTGCCTGACCTTTTATTTTTGATCCCTAAATTCTGTCAGACTTGTATGAAAATTCATTTATTCAATAGTTTTATTTAAATTCAAAACAAAACCTGAAAAACTCTCAGTTTAGTAAAAAATGTCAGTGTTTCGTCATTATAGCATTTAGGTTTAATATTATTTTTGTATATATGTATGTATATAACACATTGGCTATTATGATATATATATATATATATATATATATATATATATGAATATTAAATATATATATATATATATATATATATATATATATATATATTTAATATAATACATACCCATCTAACCAATTTTTTTCGCTTAATACGTAATAAATATGAAGCAGGTTGCATTTAGCTCAATCATACAACAAATCAAGTTTCCAATCAAGTTGCGAGCACTTAGTTTACAAAGAATCCAGAACTAGTAACGTTGTGGACGAAATTCGGAGGCAGAGAATAGAAATCCTTCTTTTAAAATAAAATTGAGTATTTCGACGAATACTACTTTCTAGATGTGAAATCGATTTACTAAAAACTTGAACAGAGAGACTTTTAGAATTGAAGCGCTTGTCGAATATAAGTTATATTTATAAATACTTCGGTTCTTTAAGTATGAAACGAAACATCATAACTTTAATATAGTATCGAAGTAAGCATAATTTATTTCATAAACCATGTATAACACTTTGCAAATACAATGATTCATCCATGAAACATATAGTTGTTAATGTTATACCAATGATCAGGGAATTTATAGTGTGTACATAAATCGACATGTCGGGATATGCTACAAGCTATTGAAGTCCTGTGACAGGATAATGAGTTTACGTGACTTGTCTTATTCAGAGTCGAGAAACCAGTTATTTAAGAATTCTGAATGAGTTTTCAATTTCAAACCCCACGGAACATTTTTGATTGTTTTACTTAACTTTAAAAGTAAACACAACCGATTATAAAAAATATATATGTATTTATAAATTGCTTCAATAAACACTGGAAACATGTTTTGGTAGCCTATTTTATGTGTTGAAATAAAAAAAATACAGATAAAAATACAAACAAAAACTGTAATAAAATTATAGAATAAGCACAGGTTTATTTAACATTTTAAAATACAATTTCTTGGTCTTTTATCCCTTTAAATATTGGTATGATTTGATATTTTTTTTACATTAAAATAACTTTATTATATTAACTTATTACAAGAAACAGGATAGGGGGAACTAAATCGTTTTTATTAATGATATTGTAATGTTTGAGTGCTAATATAGATCGCAAAACCTGAGGTAAAATCAATACTTTATATTCAAACCAATTTTTGATAACAACAACAAACAAATTTCTTGATAATGTGTAGGTATTATCTCGACTACTTCCGAGATGAGAGATAAAGTGCTTATACTTGAGTTTTTGATACAAACGTAGAGTGAAAAAAAACAATTCTTTAAGGAAAGTAACGACAGAATAGTTCACTACTATTGTTGATATGTTGTTAATACATTTAATGCTAATAATTTTGTATACTATTTTTTTACCGTTACCAATCTCCATAAAAAGCAATTAGAGTTAATACATTTTCCAGTAATTCTAGAGAATATGTATATACAATATATGTACATGCTGATAATAATGATTTTCAAAGGACTCATTCAGTTTATTGATGTCCAATTTATTTCAAATATAATTAATTGTGGTGAACCTAAGTTTTAAGACTTTTAAAAGTGAAGATTCGATAAAAGAACTGATATTTATTTTTTGAATATGTATATGACAGGTTACGTTTCGTACAGTTATAAAAAAGTACAGATATGTAGTCTAGCTAGTCTTTTCTAGAGGTAAATTAAATTATTTTAATGACCGTGTCATAAATTTGAGTATATAAGATTGTAGTGTTGAAGATTTTTAATCAATGTTCAGAACTTATTAGTGTTACGTATACATTCAATACCTAACGTTGTCTTTATCGGTATTTATATATTAGTTTGTAAAATTCTTTATATAGAACTGTTTTTAAGTAAGAATAAAAATATTTCCACGAATTACTCATCTGCTATTTTTTATTAAACCTTTGTATTTAAAAGAGCATCACCTTTCGGACAACGTTTAGTTCTTTATTGGACTTTACTCGAGTGTAACAAAATGAAGCGTTTGATATTGTTTTGTAAGTACCATATTTTTTATTCGGACTTTTTTTTTTTTTGTTATATTTAGTCTTTATAAACACAAAATTTTCTTAAATAGCATCTGTACTTCAATGAATTAAGACAAAGTTTAAATTTTAATTACAGTAATAAATATACATACTTCCCTATAGATTATTTTCAATTTAAATTATTTATTAAAATTAAAAACATTTAATATGCTTCAAATTAATTTACAACACAGTTTTCACTTTCATGTTGGTAATTACTATACAAAAACGATACTCTACGCCTGTTGCTTTATATAAATATATATTAAATTTATAACAGAAAACCTTCAGAGGTCTAGTTTATTGTTTTAGCAAGCGTTAACAATGTATCATTTAGTGAGTTTATGTTGCCATTGATGATACAAGGTCACGGATTGAAGGTTAAAATCTTATCTATGAAAAGATTACAATGAATCGATCCCGTTTTCATTTGTATCTAATGGAATATTTTTTTTATTCAATATTTATTTTATTTTTACAACATAATGATTTAACTTTATACTTTTTTTGTAGAAAGTCTAATAACTTTATTTCAGCCTTGCTGAAAATAATTATAATCCACTTGGGATGTATTATTTCAGATACTTAAAGAATATTGTTATTATTGTTATTTTTTATTATTAAAAGTAAGGGCTAGTTACAGATTTGTTAAAAACACATTAAACCTTTCTTATTCCTTTAACTAGGCCTCAAATTTTTATTTCTTATTCAAAACTTCTTACTTCATTCAAAGAAAACATAACAAGTAGACAACTTGAAATATAGCTAAAAATAAATCAATGAACAATTATACTGTAAAGGTTTGATTCATGGCCATTTAAAACAAGTATTAAAATTATTATTGTTTATACGGTTCTTGATTGGGTATACTATATAAAATATTTTCTTATAATTTATTGTAAATAAATTTTATGAATGATTGTATTTTAAATATTAATTCATATTTTTTTTGTTGCAGTATTTTCCTTGGCCATTATGGCAAAGGCTAATGAAAGGAGTTTGGATGAAATCCTTCTTGATAGTGATGACAAATTTACATCAAAAATGTTCACTGTAAGTAGACGTGCTAATTTTGAGAGTCAGTGGGTTTTCCTTCCTCAAAGTACATTTACGATAACTTAATTTCTAATAATATTGATATTGAAAACTCTAAATATTTTCACATAAATGAATGTCAAGAATGAACACTGTTTCAGGAAGTAGTAAAAGCACAACCCGGAAAGAGTGTAGTGTTATCTGCTTTTTCGGTTCTGCCACCTCTTGCTCAGCTTGCTCTGGCATCTGTTGGGGAATCACACGATGAACTTCTTAATGCTATTGAAATGCCCAACGACAACGTAGTAAGTTTATAAAACGTCCAATTGAAATTTATTATTCTAACAGTCGTCTAACAACAGAATAATATTTTTTATAGACAAAAGCAGTATTTTCAAAAGCAAAGACAGATTTGAGATCAGAAAAAGGAGTGACCCTTAAGATGGCTAGCAAAGTCTACGTGGCTGAGAATTATGAATTGAACAATGACTTCGCTGACCTTAGTCGAGACGTTTTCGGATCTGAAGTTGCGAACATTGACTTTTCTAAAAAAGAAAACGCCGCTAAGAAAATTAATCGATGGGTACTTAAGAATAATTCTTATAACAACTGAGTGAGTAATGAAATATATTCCAATAGATTTTTATGAATTACTTGATATTTTTCAGGTTGAAGATCATACAAATAATCGTATTAAAGACCTAGTAGACCCCACATCCCTAGATGGTGATACCAAAGCTGTATTAGTAAACGCAATTTACTTTAAGGTTAAATAGATAATTCTTATTAAGCGTAGTAAATTACTTTTGAAATGTTCTTGCTTTTTTTATAATTTTTTTTTTATAAAGGGCGCATGGAAAATTCCTTTTGACAAAGAAAGCACAACAGACAGAGATTTCCATGTGAGCAAAGAAAATGTTGTCAAAGTACCCACTATGTACAATTCAGACACCTTCTATTACATTGATAGTAAGGAACTCGACGCACAGGTATGTAAATAAAATATTTTATGTAATAAATTTATATAATACGCATAGTCTTTAAGCAATTCAAAATGTTTCATTATATATTAATGCGATTCATAGGTATTGGAACTTAAATATGAAGGAGGAGATTCTGCTCTGTATGTTGTCCTTCCACATGAAGTAGATGGCATTAACAAATTGGAAGAAAAACTCAGAGACCCATCATTATTGGATAGTGTTATAAGTACCATGTCTGCATCAGAAGTTGAAGTGTACCTCCCTAAATTCAAAATTGAAACAACAATAGAACTCAAAGAAGTTCTTGAAAAAGTAAGTATGTGAGTTGAAAAAGGTCATTTGCATATTCTTAGATGTAAACTTAATAAAACTCTTTTAATAGATGAATGTAAGGCGATTATTTAGCGTTGGCGAAGCTAGACTCGACAATCTCGTAAAGTCTGTTAGTGATTTGTACATTAACGACGCTAAACAAAAGGCATTTATTGAAGTTAATGAAGAAGGTGCTGAGGCCGCGGCAGCTAATGGTGAGATAAAACTTATAGATATTGATATATTGAAACAGAGTAGTAAACAAAATTTTCTTTGAGGAAAAACTTATATACAGCTTACTTACATACAACTTATTAACATTATTGTTTTCGAAGCAAATAAAACTTTATAAAATATTTAATTTTTGATTAATAGTCTTATGTATATTATTCTGTTATGGGAAACGATATATGTATCTTAATAATATACAGAACCTAGAATGGTCACCACACTGTAAAGATTATGTTTATTTAATAAATTTCTTTGCTCATTTTAGCTGGGACAGTTGTAACTTTAAAGCATTTTAGGGTTACTTTGTAGTTGAGATACTACAAGTTATTATTGTATTAACTTCAAATTTATCATTTCAGAATTTGTTGCAGTAGGAAGCAGTTTCGTAATCGATGAACCCCCTAAACCAGTTTTTGATGCCGATAGGCCATTTGTTTTTGTTGTAAAGAAAAATAATTTGCCTTTGTTTACTGGAGTTTATGCTGGAAACTAAAATGTTCTCCGAACATACATTTATAATCAGTTCTGTAATAAACAATAATATATAAAATGGTAGTTTCTTTCAAAAACTTAATATTGATTTAAATATTACATATTTAAGTACGAACAATATAATTATGTTATTCAATTATTTGATTTGAAATTTAATAGAATTGGGATATCAATATTAATTTACCATAAATATCTATACTCAAATTCACTAATTTCTTGGGGACTAAAGGTAGATATTCATAGACTTTTTAAATATACATTTTATTTCCTTACCTAGTTTTGAGTAATAAATGAAATTTACGTACTATATCATTGCAAAATTTTAAATTATATATCAATAGTATTATTTATAGTTTAGTAACCGGTTTGTAACCATCACTTACTAACAAATATCTTATTGTATGTTTATTAATAATGACCTTGAGTTTATAATATTTATTAAATATATAGTGTAATAAAATAATTCTACAAATATCAAAATAGAGTAAATGACTTTCTCTCCGAAATATTATGGGATATTAAAGCAGAAATTCTTCGAGTAAATTCGGTTTTTCAAAAAGAAGTTTTAATTAGACAGTCATTTTTATATTGAGATCAAAGAGTGTGAATATCTTGTGCCAGGTTAATCTAAAAATATTTATAAATATCTGATATGAAAAGATTTTATATTTTGTTTGTGATTTGAAGCAAGATGAAGCTCTATGATAATATAAGGTTTGGTCATCGCTACATATATATGTTTTGTAATAAAATGATAAACGTGCAGTCTACTAATGATTTGTATCGACACTTATGACTGTGTATTTGAGATATGAACAATTATACGTAATTTGTACTCGTTATCGGATATAATGTTATGCACGCGTATTTGGCTTTAAAGGCTTATTACAAATACAGATATTTGATTATTATATAATGTACTTTCTACCGTATCACAGTTTGTGTTTAAAATTTTTTTGTAACACTTATAATTTTAACACACTGTAAAAGCATGCTGACCAATACATAATATGGAATAATGAAAAAAAAACAAAATAAGTTAATTTATTTTACTTTTGTGAATAAAAAAATGTGATAAATTAGTTACCACTTCTTAGAAAAATTTTTTGCTTGTTCCGCTTACTATAATATTGAAAATGGAACGTCTCACAAAAGTGAAGAACTTTTGCCTTAAAGACGCCCGAATATAAGGGGTAGGAAATATGATAAAAGCTGTTCCAATTAACAAATTGAATTGAATGCACTGAATAAAGTGAAGACTGAAAAATACCTAATAACTGAAGTCTGTCAGTATGTTATAAGCTTAAATTCTGAAGAGCTGGAGGAAAAGTGAAATTCCTCTTCTTGGCGGTGTGTCTATACACTTGTATCACTTGCCTTTTGGTGACTTTAAATTTCACAATATCCGTACTTTACGGTGACTTTAAATTTTTCTATTTCACAATATCTAATCAAAATACTACTTCACAATATCTAATCGAAATTAAACTGAATCATCGTCTGAATAATTCTTTAAAATAATATTTGTAGTAACTGCACAACTTTCTCATTAATACATTTAACACCTCCAAAAAAAACAGTAATCATATCTATTATCTACATATCATTGAAATAAAGCTAATATATTCCGACTGCATCCCGTATACTACAGTAAGAGAAAAAAATATATATTGTAGGCCGTAAAATGATAATAAAGCTTACTAATATACACTATGAAATTATCCTCCAATAACCATAGCTTCTGTAAAGCAGAACTAAAAGTGTACAAATATAATATTATGCGAATTAAATAAAGTAATATTATTTTTTTGTCTTACATCAGAATTAGCTTCCTTTTTAGTGACAAAGGCGTTTTTTTTTTCTTGGTAACCCCAATTACAAATACTATAACAGGTTCGTCAAAAGAACAAATAAGTTAGTTTGGAAAGTGCGTAATAATTTTTTTTCATACAAAAAGTACCTGTAATGATCAGGAATCATCATCATCATCATCATCATCATTGTCAGCCTTTTGAAGCACACTACTTAGAAAATGCTTTGCCTCTCACATGCAGAAAGTTAAAACATTAATCACAACGCTTGTTCAAGACGGATTGGAGATTTAAAATTTATGATTTAAAATATTATTACATAAAAACATATAACTTCTATGAATGTTAGAATATTAATAAAGCCATACAAATTAAAGTAAAAGCAATTTTTCAGTTGTGGGCATTGCTAAGAATAAAATTTGTTGTATTTATAATATGAATATAAATATTATTCTCAGATTTACTAAATTAAAAATTAACATATTTTGAACATATCCATAACATTTAAATATTTTATTATATGTATAAAACTAGTAATTTTATTTGCCAACATAATTCAATACAATTTCAGAAGGAGATTAAAGTTCGTTTGACTGTTGGGATATTTAAATGGATATACTCCTACATCAAAATACAACCGAGTGACGAAAGGAAAAATGTAATACCCCCAAGGCTTTTTTTGTAGATTAAAATACTCTCTGAATATAAAAAAACGTTTTCGGTTTGTTTGAGTAACGTTTCCTACATTGTCGGATGGATTAATTTGTTACTAAGCTTCTTGTTTCGAAATAAATTTTATTTAAAGACATACAAATTAGATAATATTTTTTTATGTCCATTTAGGAAAATATACTGTTTTGAAAATAAAAACCGTCTTTTCTTAACATATATAGTATAAAGAATGGTGAATTAAATATTCATATCTCAGTAACAGCAGCAGGAATAAATATTTTAAAACAAATATTAAAGTAAATTCTGTTTGGACAACTACCCAAATAAACACTTCAAAATTATTTAACAGAATTGATCTTATGTACATAGTAACTAGCTATTGTCGGACCAGTTAACCTTGAAATATCGGAATGGCTTAGGTCCAGAGATGGACACGTTTTGACTTATGGATGGATGGATTTTTTCTGTGCTCATCAAAATTAAATACTTTATATAGGATACATATTTCCTAGTAGTCTTATTTATCTTATAAATATGCCTGACAATACACACCTTCATTGTGGACATTTTATTTGTATCCCGATAATCTTCTTCTTTTTTCTAACGGTAAGCGATGTTTTTGGATTAATAAAGGCTTTATTATTATTATTATTATAAACTTCATCATACTTGTATAACAACAATATTAACCGGAATCCTGACCAATATAATTTAAGTAAATTATAAATTTACATTTCTATTATTTTAGTAAGTGTTTTATAATAAATACAGATTAAAAAGTTATACACAAAATTATAATCATTCTTATTTGCAACATATAAAAGATGACGTAAATATGTAATCTTTACCTTTTCCAGTAAGTAATACGACTCTGTAATAACTGATAAGTCCATGGTTGTTATATTAGTACAAGTAGTTATACAAAGTGTTTCACAAATTAATAGACTATATATAAAACTTCTTATTCAGTTTATTCTGCATATACCCAGTATATATTTCAAGTACATTTTTATACAGTGATGGACAAAAGGAAAGACGGGTAGATATTTGTATAACACACATAATGATAACGTTCCAAATATTGACAAGATATTTTTTGATAAAACATATCAATAAAGATATGTAAATAGTTGATACACTATTGAAATTGCAATTGACAGATTTTATACATGACGTGGATGCGGTATTAACGTTGCCTTTAATCTTTGTTTTGGTTCTTTTAAAAAACATTACATTATCTAATAAAAACATAATTGATGTCAACCGTTTAACGCAATCTTTATTAATTATCGTAGTTTTAAAACCGTTATCATGCTAATGTTATTTCTAATAACTAATGCTGTTGTCGTAGTTCGAGTGGGATTTCCTGAGATAAAATATGAAATAATATTCTGCATTTTAACTTACTTTTTAAGTTTATTTAATAGTTAGCCTTATTTCAACTCTTGCTACAGTACGGCACAAAGAACATCATCCTGTTTCCTTCTACGTGTGGTCTACCCTCTACAGGTGGTAGAGCGTAGCTGGTGTCGGTTACTACAGCTCGAACATGGGCTGGCTGAACCGGGGAAGTACCACCCGCTCACAGAAAATCGGTGTGAAGTAGCCTTTAACAGCTGCGTTTCTTCCGATGAGTGAGAGAGCCAGTTGCCCTTTCTCTATTCCCACCCTTTCCTTTCTCTATTCCCACCCTTTCTAAAAAAAACAAGGTTGGCGACGCATCCGTAACATATTTGTTGAGGAAGACCATGGGCGACGGTAACTACCTTCAATCAAGTAGGCCGTCTGCTCATTTTGCCACTTTTCACATAAAAAAAGAAGAATAAATAATATGTATATTCCAATTGTAAGAAGCAAAGATTCTGACAATTCTAGATTTGTAATTAAAAATGTGAAAACATTAAAATCATATCCTTTCCAAAACTCTGTATATATCACGATTTTAAACTAAAACTATTTTCTTGTGTTTATTTCCTTTACACAACTAAAAAGAATCATGTACTGTGACTTATTTTAATAATAATTTGAATCATAGTACTGGAGATAATAAAATACATACACTGTTATATGTACAACAAAAGAAAGAAAGGATGGAATGGATCAAATTATGTTTTTCTTATCTGCAATAAAACAATAGAGTAGAGCAAAAAAATTTTATGTGTATTCCAATCAACTTGGAAAGTTATATAGAAAATTAGAGATAATTCTTATTATTCATGTTTTTGTGTTTAGTCCTAAATTACTTTAAAAATGTTTAAAAGATTTTTATGAGTATTTAAAATGAATATTGGAGCAATACTTTAATATTTTCTTTTTCATGCTAAACTCACAAGCAGAAATATACGACTAGTCCAAAAGTGACCTACATTCTAAATCCACAAAGACCTTTTAATAATCTTCATTCTTATTTTTCATAAGGCATACGTTTTGGATACACTCTTAGACTGTTATGATAACATTAATGAAATAAAAGATAGAATAATATGACCCTTTTAATTATATAATTTGATAATTATGATTAGTGGCCATTTTATGTATAACATGACATAAAAGTAAATATATTTTATAAGACAAATATTTTTTTATAAAAGATACATTGACTATGCTAAAACTACAATAATATATATTTTTCCGTACATTATTTCAGCTTCTTGATTATGTAAATAGTAAAATTCCTGTTAAATCGAACGTACAAATTATTTCCCTGTTCCCTTGAATCATTAAATTTGACATCAAGAAAATTAAAGCAGCACAAGTAAATGATAAACTTACGATATTAATCTCAATCTTATTATATACACATACTCGTAAACATAAAGTAAATAAATATTAAATAGCTTAATGAAAATGTATGCCATCCTATGTGTACAGTATGTTATTAAATCAATAAAAGCTGTGTTTATAATGTTAAAGTTTAAAAACTGCAGAAAAAATGACATTAACAAAATTTTTCCGTATTTTTATTTAAGTTCTTTTAGTAGAAATTGTATTATTAGGTATGATTTAAACTTATCTCTTATTTTAATTGATCTCATTATGACAAAAAACGTTAAACTTAACATTTTTGTGACTTAACTTATTTTATGATTTGTTTTTTTTTTTTTTTACATAAAACGAAATCTATTTAAATACTTTTGAGAATATTATAATATGTAAGTGGCGGGCTAGGTAATATAGATCATATCGGCGGAGGGACGCTCCTGGTCACTTGGAGTGAGCCCTCGGGGGGGCTGTGACCGTTCGCGGCCTTCCGCCGGACCGTCGCGAATGTATGCTTCGGCGATTCCCGTGGCTATCCACTAGCTGGCGACGGAGAGTGACCGCTGGTGTTTTAGTGGGTAACATGGGCCCTTCTGTCCCGTGAATCCCACATAACCGCTTCTGTCTCCCCTAGACGGAGGGGTAGGGGTAGTAAAAGGAAATATAGATCACGAAACCTAAGGTAAAATCGATTCTTTATATTAAAACAATTTGTGATAACGACAACAAACAAATTTTTTGATAATAAGTGTTATCTCGCTTACTACCAAGAAGAGAGATAAAGTGCTTTTGCTTGATTTCTTGAAACAAACATAGTCCAGAAACAAATCAATTCTTTGATAATAATATGAAATAGTTCACTACTAATGTTGACATGTTGTTACTAGGTTTTATGCTAATAATTTTCTATATCTAAAATATACAGGAATAGTAAACCATTCAAGTTTTACCATTACAAATTTTCCATAATAAGTTATTACAGTAAATAATTTTTTCAGTAATTCTAATGAAATATGATAAATTTTATTTTTTTATTTTTCTCATTCACAGTTTAATGATGTCAAATTTATTTCAAATGTAATTGTACTGAACCTAAGTCTTTTAAAAGTGAGGATTCGATAAAAGAACTGATACTTATTTTTCTAAAGTACATATATGCTCCAGTTACGTTTTGTACAGTTATAAAAGAACAAATATGTAATCTAGCTAGTCTTTTCTGGAAGTAAATTAAAATTATTTTAAAGACGGTGTCATAAATTTCTTTTGTTTGTAAAAAACCGTTATATAGAACTGTTTTTTCCCTGTGATTGACTAAGAATCAAAATATTTCCACGAATTACTCATCTGCTATTTTTTATTGAACCTTTGTATTTAAGAGAGCATCAATTTTTGAACAACGTTCAGTTCTTTATTGGACTTTGAGTAGAGTGTAACAAAATGAAGCGTTTGATATTGGTTTGTAAGTACCATATTTTTTATTCAGACTAACTTATTTTCTTATCTTTAGTCTTTATAAACACAGAATATTGTTAATAGCATCTTTAGCTGAATGAATTAAGCCAAAGTTTAAATAAAAATAATAAATATATGTACGTTCCTATTGAGTATTTTCAGTTAAAATTATTTATTAAAATTAAAACATTTAATATACTTGAAATTAATTTACAATACAGTTTTCACTTTCATATTGGTAACTACTATACAAAAACGATACTCTATGCCTGTTTCTTTATATAAATATATAATAAATTTATTACACAAAACCTTCAACGTTCTAGTTTATTGTTATAGCAAACGTTAACAATGTATCATTTATTGAGTTTTTGTTATCATTGATGATACAAGGTCACGGATTGAAGGTTAAAATCCTATATATGAAAAGATTACAATAAATCGATCTCGTTTTCCATCGTATCTGACACTGACTTTTTGGCTTATTATTATATTCTACAAAAATAGACTATTTTTTATTCAATAGTTCGTTTATTAAATTAGTTATATATAAGACTTGTACGAGTCTAGCTAGTGTTTTGTTTAAATAAAGATTGTTGTTCTTTTCTTATAAAATGAATACATTTAAAAGACCGGTCACTACATACATAGATAAAAAAAGAAGTGATATACCATAAAACAAAAAAAGAAATCATACTAGGAAATTTAGGTGTAACTGTACATAGAACAAAATGATGAACGATCAAATTATTTCTACAAGTTTTTACAATATTCCCTGAATTAGAAGTTCTCCATTTATTTTATTTTTACAACATAATCATTTGACTTTATCCTCTTTTTGTAGAATGTGTAATAACTATATTTCACCCTTGATGAAAATGGTTATGAATCTAGTTGGGATATATTATTTCAGATAATTAAAGAATATCGTTACTATTGTTATTTTTTATTATTAAAAGTAAAGACCAGTTACGGATTGGTTAAAAAACATATTAACCTGTCTCATTCCTTTAACTAGGCATAAAATTTTAATTTCTTATGTATTCAAAACTTCTTACTACTTCAAAGAAAACACAACAAGTAGACAAGTCGAAATAAAGGTAAAACATAAATCAATGAACAAATATAGGTACTGCTAAGGTTTGATTCATGGCCTTTTAAAGCAGTTGTTAAAATTATTATCAAATAAATTTTATGAAAAATATTGACACTGTAACTATAATCTGGCCAGTAAAAAAACCCTTCATTTAGTCAACAGATTATTATGCATAAAAAGTACTATTGGCCTCTACTACCTACATTTACCTATCAGTTATCGTTATCACTAATCATTTCATAAATATTTTCACTTATCATTATCACTTATCATTTCATAATAATTTGTGTTTCTTATAAGTCGCCTAAAATCTAATAGAATAATTGTTTAGACGGCTCTTCAGTGGATATACTAAATAAAATATTTTCTAATAATTTATGGTAGATGAATTGTATAAAAGATTGTATATATTAAAAATTAATTCATATTTTTTTTGCAGTATTTTCCTTGGCCATTATGGCAACGGCTAAAGAAAGGAGTTTGGATGAAATCCTTCTTGATAGTGATAACAAATTTACATCAAAAATGTTTACTGTAAGTAGACTTGCTATTTAAGTGAATCAGTCGGTTTTCCTTCCTCAAAGCACATTTACAAATACTGAATTTCTAGTATTATTTATATTGAAAACTCTAAATATTTTAACATGAACATAAATGTATGTAGAGAATGACACCTTTTTCAGGAAGTAGTAAAAGCCCAACCAGGAAAAAGTGTAGTGTTATCTGCTTTTTCGGTTCTGCCACCTCTTGCTCAGCTTGCTCTAGCATCTGTTGGGGAATCACACGATGAACTTCTTAATGCTATTGAAATGCCCAACGACAACGTCGTAAGTTTATAAACCGTCCAATCGAATTATAGAAATTTATAATTCTGACAGTCGTATAACAACGGAACAATATTTTTTATAGACTAAAGCAGTATTTTCAAAAGCAAAGACAGATTTGAGATCAGAAAAAGGATTGACCCTTAAGATGGCTAGCAAAGTCTACGTGGCTGAGAATTATGAATTGAACAATGACTTCGCTGACCTTAGTCGAGACGTTTTCGGATCTGAAGTTGCAAACATTGACTTTTCTAAACAAGAAAACGCCGCTAAGAAAATTAATCGATGGGTACTTAAGAATAAATCTTATAATAAAAATGAACTGAGTCTACATCAAAGTAATGAAATGTATTCCAACAGATTTTTATGAATTACTTGATATTTTTCAGGTTGAAGAACATACAAATAATCGTATTAAAGACCTAGTAGACCCCACATCCCTAGATGGTGATACCAAAGCTGTATTAGTAAACGCAATTTACTTTAAGGTTAAATAGATAGTTCTTATTAATCGTAGTAAAGTATTATTGAAATGTTCTTGCTTTTTTATCGCTTTTTTTTCTCTAAAGGGCGCATGGAAAATTCCTTTTGACAAGGAAAGCACAACTGACAGAGATTTCCATGTGAGCAAAGAAAATGTTGTCAAAGTACCTACCATGTATAATTTAGACACCTTTTATTACATTGATAGTAAGGAACTCGACGCACAGGTATGTAAATAAAATATTTTATGTAATAAATTTATATAATACGCATAGTCTTTAAGCAATTCAAAATGTTTCATTATATATTAATGCGATTCATAGGTATTGGAACTTAAATATGAAGGAGGAGATTCTGCTCTGTATGTTGTCCTTCCACATGAAGTAGATGGCATTAACAAATTGGAAGAAAAACTCAGAGACCCATCATTATTGGATAGTGTTATAAGTACCATGTCTGCATCAGAAGTTGAAGTGTACCTCCCTAAATTCAAAATTGAAACAACGATAGAACTTAGAGAAGTTCTGGAAAATGTAAGTATGTGAGTTAAAAAAGGTCATTTATATATTCTTAGATGTAAACTAAATAAACCTCTTTTACCAGATGAATGTCAGGCGATTATTTAGCTTTGGCGAAGCTAGACTCGACAATCTCGTAAAGTCTGTTGGTAATTTGTACATTAATGACGCTAAACAAAAGGCATTTATTGAAGTTAACGAAGAAGGTGCTGAGGCCGCGGCAGCTAATGGTGAGATAAAACTTATAGATATTGATATTTTGATTTACTGAAATAGAGTAGTAAATAAAATACTTCTCGAGGAAAAGTTACACATAAATATACAGACGTGTTTTTCGAGGAAAATAAATTTTGTAACATATTTATTTTTGATGAATAATGGACATTATTCTGTCATGGGAAACAGCATAATTTAATAATATACAGAACCTAGGATAGGTCACCACACTATAAAAATTATATTTAATTAATGTCATTGCTCATTTTAGCTGGGACAGTTGTGACTTTAAAATATTTTAGGGTTACTTTTTAGTTGTGATACTACAATTATTATAATATTAACTTGAATATTATCATTTCAGAATTTGTTATCTCAGGAAGCAGTTTAGTGATCGACGAACCCCCGAAACCAGTTTTTGATGCTGATAGGCCATTTGTTTTTGTTGTGAAGAAAAGTAATTTGCCTTTGTTTACTGGAGTTTATGCTGGAAACTAAAATGTTCTTCAATCACACATTTATGAACAGTTCTGTAATAAACAATAATATATGAAATAGTAGTTTCATTCAACAACTTTAAATTGTTTAAAAATATTTATATATTTAAGTACGAACAATACAATTATGTTATTCAATTATTTGACTTGAAATAATTGAATTAAGTTATTACTATAAATTTACCAAAAGTATCTATCTATACGCAAATTCATCAATTTCTTGCGGATTAATGATATACAATTAAATGTTCACTTTATTACCTTTAGATAAAAAGTATTACTTTTATATGAATATTATTGATCTCTAAAAGTTCATCCAGCGAAATGCTTTATGTCATCAGAATAGGGCGTCTAGAAATGTGTTGTATTTTATGATTGTAATGTACATACCTATCTTGAACATACTAAACGTAGTATAAAGATAATGATTTTTATCTATCAATAATGAATAATTTTCTCTATAAATATATTTTTTCAAAAGGAAATACTACGAATTGCTTACAGATTTTTAAATGCTGTATATAAATTAAAAATAAAAAGACGGCTTATGACAGTTGTTTTTAGATAATAATATATTTTGTTATTAAAAGTATTCTTGTGTATATAACATATTTAATGCAATAAAACAGTCTTAAAAAGATACAATAAACTATGACTCCAAAATATTCTTAGTAGATAAACACAAAAATTGTTCAGGCATAATCATTTCTCATCGTAAAAAAATATCTACTCTATTCTACATTGAGATCCAAAATTGTTAATAATTTATGTTAACTTCATTTAAAACATTTATAAATAGATATAAAACTTTTATTACGTTGGTTATGATTTTATTGATACTTAAATTATTACCTTATAAATCCATTTTATTCTCAAATAATAAATGTGTGGTCTACTAATGATCGTCTGTTTGTGATACTGATAGTTATATGTAATACCATTGAGGATAACGATATCTAAATGTACGAGTATACGTATATCTTATACTTCAAAAGATATTCGGCCAACTTTGTTAAATTTGGATGTGTATTGAATATATGTGACTTATACTGCTATAATTTCATGAAGGTAGATTTTTAGAAACACGTTTTATTCACAATTTTGATTCTATAATAATCTTTTACGAAAGATGAATTCTAAAAAGATTTAGATTTTTTTAATCAATAGTCATTCGTAATAAAGGCCTTCGACTAGTACTTTTCCCGACAAGATGTCACCAACCGGCTTTTCTATATATGGAACCTAGTATAAGAGATCAAGGAAGCTCTGTTCTCGTCAGTATTAATCGCAGCTCTACGGGACAGTGAACAGGATTTGAGGATATCGGTCTTCTATCGATCGTCCTCATTGGAGAACTGTCGAAATAAACACTGGAAATTTATTAAAAAGAAATATTTCTGGGCTTATAAAAACTTGTGAAAACTAGCCTTAGTCTAACTTCTATTTTAGCCTTGTTTTTAACTTACCTTTAAAGTTGTATGTTGTTCCTATAGCGATAACCTCTGTCATTTATTTATCAGAATAATATTTGGAACATCTGAACGTAATCATGACCTTATATTGAGTAATATACATAAAAATATTTTTTATTCTTTTACTTTGTCAGTAAATCCTAATATGTGTTTTCGATGTAAAGAATTAAGGAATTTTAAGAATGCCTTTGCAAAATTTTCTTTGTAATTGATAAAAAATATTTTCAAACATTGGTATTTGCTACATAGAGAACATAAAATCATGGAACCAATAAGTTTTCTTGGTAATAAAATAAAAGTGAATCTATTCATAGTTACAAAATTAAAACATTGCAAATTTATTGTTTCAGAAGTTAATTAATAATAATGCATCAAATTAGTCACAATAAATGATTGATAATTCTTTTATATTTAGTTCTTATTTTTTATACAGCTTATGAAAAAGTTTCAAAAAGTAAAATGATTAAAATTTTGTTCCAATATTCTCAGTTGTAATACACTTAGCAAATTATTCCCACCAATCATGAAAATAACAATATTTTTGCTTTTTATATTTAAAAATGTATTGGAAAAACCATGACATGAAAGAGCCTAACTATGGTCAAGTAACTACAACTCGAACATAGGCTGTTCCTATTTTCAAATATTTTATCATTGAATTTTCGTCTTGTTTCCATCTTTTCAGTTAAGTTTTAATTGTAGTTATCGGTAAAGACGGTTTTTCGCTTTTTTATTATATTATTTACATACCCCACTCGACATTCTTGATAGCATTTTTTAACTCACAATATGGGCTCAAACATCCACATTTTTCATGTCACCTATCTAAGAACACTTAGGCTATTAAGACGTATCTAACGACACCTCAAATGTGAAAATCCCTTTAGCGTTTCTGAACATAATAAAGGCAGTAAATAATATAACATACCTAAAAACATATCCTCCCGGAAGCAGTCAGGTAAAAATTTATGTAATGTTGCAATATTCATTAGATATAGAAAAAATATACGTTCCCTATTTTTTTATGCTTGTGAGTTGTTGTAGGAATCTATGAACGATATTGGAGGTAATTTTAGTACTTATGAAGATGATGTTATTATACATTGTTATAATCTTCTATATATATAAAAATGGATTGCTGTTCCTTAGTCTCGCTAAAACTCGAGAACGGCTGAACGGATTTGGCTAATTTTAGTCTTGAAATACTCCTGGAAGTCCAGGGAAGGTTTAAAAGGTGAGAAAAATTGATTCATTACTGGGAAAACCATAAAAACAGCCCTTTTCTATTTCCCATACAAAAGTTTTTTTTGACATTAGATTTGACAACTAACAAATATGTCAATTCTGTTTGATTGAAACAGGAAAAACCTGATTATTTATGGCCTGTAAGACGGAATAAAGTTCGACTGCTCAGCTACACCTACATATATTACTCTTGACCAAACTAACGCGGACGAAGTCGCGGGCAAAAACTAGTATGAAATGAAAAAACAGTGATTGAACCAAATAAGATTAAATAAATGGAATTAAAAATTAACAATAAATCAAATTAAATTAATATATATATATATATATATATATATATATATATATATATATATAGTCTTAGTCTTGAAATGTTCGTGGAGGTTCAGGGAAGGTATAAAAGCTGAAAAAAAATGATTCATTACTGCGAAAACCATAAAAACAGCCCTTTTCTATTTCCCATACAAACGTTTTTTTGACATTAGATTTGACAACTAACTAATATGTCAATCATTCTGTCGCACTTCAAAACACGGAGATTTATGGCTTTACAGGTTAACTCAAAAATATAAATAAAAAAACGTAACAGATATTTCTTGATTATAGGGCGTTACGAAGTTCGCCAGGTCTTCTAGTATATATATATATAAATATAAATAATTTGCGACATTTTTAAATCTTTATAATTTGTAGTAGATCTACGACTCTCAGGTCCACGACTTTCATATTATCTTGCATAGCAAAGAGAACTAGTGTCCTAGTCCAAAAGTGACCCAGATTGCAAAACTCACAAAGACCTATTTTTAAACTTACATGTACTTTATATTTCCCATTTTTCGCTAGGAAGGTTATGTAATGACTTGTTAAGCTAACGTGATACAAAATAAAAAAAAATTGTTATGTTCCGACTACATTTTGAACATATTTTGAACATATTATATAACTGATAAAGAGATTTACTGAGAAAGTAATATGATATAATTAAATTAAAGAAAAAAAACATGAAAATACCAATTCATAATTATATAAAACAATTTAAAAATCTATATTGTTTTAATTCTAACTTTCAACAACTTTGTATGGTGAAAGATAAAAAGGGTAAAAAATAGATCTTTTATTAATCGGAACTCGGGTGGAACATATATACATAGCTTATAAATTATACATTTTATCTTATTTGTTACGTTATCGAACAGCGTATATAAAATTTCGATAATGATACTGTATACAACATACTCGGTGTTCCAAAGTATGACTAAACTTCAATACAAAATTATATCCCTACTAATATTATAAATGCGAAAGTAACTCTGTCTGTCTGTCTGTCTGTCTGTCTGTCTGTCTGTCTGTCTGTCTGCTACGCTTTCACGCCTAAACCACTGAACTGATTTTAATGAAATTCGGTACAGAGATAGAGTTGACCTTGAGAAAGAACATAGGATAGTTTTTATCCCAGACTTTTGAAAGGTTCTCTTGGAAACGCGATATAACCGAACTCCACGCGGCGAAGCTGCGGGCGGAAAGCTAGTGTATAATAAAATAAAAACAGTGGAATTATGTAAACAATAAGTTAGCGCGAAGTTATTTAAACATCTTACTATATATTATCATCAATGCCATGTCAATTCATTAGATTATTGTTAGCATATTGTTTGATGAAACTAAAATTACTATTAATATTAATTATTTTATAATACAAAAACAAATTTATGAGACATTAGTGACAAAACCAAAGCGAGTGCAAGGAAATATTGCCTACAAACTCAAATAATATTTAGTAATACATATGGATCTTAAACTTGGGGCTCTGTACTGATTGGGAATACATCTTACATTATTACTACGTCATCATAAATATGAGTCTTGTCTTCTTGTCCCGTCTTGTCCCGTTTGGAGTTTGCTATTTTAAACTGTTTTAAATTTGTTATTAAAAACCAATATTTCCATCATTTCAGTTGACGGCAGCGTTATTTATATGTAACGAATATGTTCTTTATTTCAAATAAAAATCGAATATTAAACATAAATTTACTGTAGCTTATACTCTAAGCTTAAAGTGTGTTTTATATTAAATTTATATATTTTTTTAGTATTATTATTCTTAAATTTCTATTGACCTTATTTTTGAAATACACCTGTACAAACAAATAATTCCCCATTCAATTCTTTGTATGTGATTAGAGCAATTATTTAGAATTATAAAATTTTATATTTAGCAAAACAAAATATGTCGAAATTATGAAAAATTTATGATTTAAATTTTAAAATTGATTTATATTATGTTTATTCATATCATTATATTTTAATGTTTACAATGTAAAGCAATGTAAATTTTTGTGTCGAAATGTATAAAATCTTTATTTAATATTTTTATCGTTCAGAAAAGACTTGTTACAATAGCTTCACTAAATGCATACTTCCGGAACGTGACTACTTAAAGGAACCTCGTAGATTAATTCTGATATATTTGTACTTCAAAAAAAAAACTGTGGGCTTAATATTTTTTTTATTTGGAATGTCAATTAAATCAGTTTATTTGGTTTTTATTTCACCTTTATTTACTAATGATTTACGTTTGCTATTGGCTTTTTATTTGTCATTTTCCCGATGGTGTTTTGCAATTAGTATATTATTTAAATATCAAGTGAACATCAATAGATGGATCAGTTCGATCGGCGTCATAATTAGACTGTAAGTTCATTTTTTACGAATGATCAGCATAAGTTTTGTTACATTAAATATTTCCCTTTGTGTTCAATATGGTTTACATACAACTGTCATGTAGTATTCCTGAGCAAACTACATTATTTGAAGAGATAGTTTATAGCTTCTATGTAATGCTTTTATTTCAACTAGATTATGAGTAAGAATTGTCGAAATCCCTTCAGTATATATGTAGTTTACGTAAAAGAACAACGAATATACATAAAGCCTCACAAACTTTTTCATTCATAATATTGGGAGGATTCTTCAAAGCTTTACTTATTCCATATAATACTTTATACATTATATTTGAAAATTTGGTATCAATCGCTTTTCAAACACTAATTATTTATTCCATTGACCTTATACCACCATATTGATCCGTCCGACTCAAAACGCAATAAAAATGGATTAGGTTTTAAAACGAATTATGATTAAAACATTGCTCCTCAATCAATTCTATTATCATTTATTATACTTCTTCTTATTTATTATTGCAGTCTGGAAACATTCCAACTATTTAAGATATTTAAATGTATTTTCAACCTACTATCATCAATTATTACTTTATTTGGCTGGCAATGCTTATAATGAATATACAAGTGACCTCATTTTTATGTGGCTATTTAAATAATTTTTCTTTAAAATGCTAGCTGGTTTGAATGGTCACATAATTTTCAAGTACCCAGACATTTGTCAGTAAGACCATTTGATACACTGTATGTTATCTTTGCGACTGGTGAGGCATAAGCTCTTCTGTGCATGACATTTAAGTCTTGTGAATAATGCATCTGCCCTTTATCGGTGACCCTAGTTTAAGCCAAACATGTAAGAAAGTTAGATCTTAGTCTTCACAAACTGTTAGGTTTATTTAATAGGCATATTACCTTCAAAGACTTGACAAAAAAATCTAACTTTAGTAAAAGGGGACAAGATTTCGTTTAATGTATGACATAAAATTATATAATTTATAGTTATGTATTTAGGTAAATACAAAACTATTTTTTTAATCAATAAATAAAAATCACAGTCTTTTTAGTACATTTTTTTTTTGTTAACATATCAATTAAAGCAAATACATGCTAAATAATTTCATCACACAAAATAAACAAACTTCTAGCACCTATTTAATAAAGAATATTGAATTAGTAATCCAATGAATCAAATTCGGAGGCAGAGAATAGAAATCGTTCTTTTTAAATAAAATTAAGTTTTTTTGACAAATAGTACTTTCTAGATGTGAAATCAATTTATAATATACTTGATCAGAAAGATTTTCAGAAATTAACCACTGTTTGATTACAGGTTTCTATCCATAAATGCTTGAATTCGCCTCAGTTTAAAACAAGAAAACAATCATAACATTAATATTGCAGTATTTGAATTAATAATATATTACACCTTACATACTTTAAACGTCAAGATCAAACAGATTCATCCATGAAACATAATTATAGTTATTAATACCATATTCAATGATAGATCAGTGAATTTATAGTGTGTACATAAATCGAGATGTCGGGATATGCAACGAGTTATTGAAGCTCTGTGACATGGTAATGAGTATACGTGACTTATCTCATTCAGAGTCGATGAACTAGTCATTTACGAATCATGAATAAGTTTTCAATTCCAAACCTCGGTTGACATTTATGATTAAATATATATTTTGCGTTACCTGAGACCGCGACTTATTCTGTGTGGAATAGTAACTCTGGACATTATTTTTTGGACATATCTTTTAGTTTATATTTGATGATTAGTTATGGTTTAAGAAAATACTGTAATATCCTTCTTTATTCGGTATGAGACAATGATACCTAACATGTGACCGAGCAATTTAAAGCTGACCATACTATAAAGCTGACATTGCAATATTAAACCCCACAGAGGGAATATTGATATATATTTTATATAATGCCATCAATAGGCATTCAAAAGTAACTAAAAGTCCATGTTAAAATATTATTACTTAGCACTAGTGCCTCTCTCATCAAAAGAAACACTCTTTTAAAGTAAAGTCATATCCTACAACTTTATCCTTTAACCTTTGAAGGCTTAAGATTAAGTACGAAGAAATTAAATAGACGAAACAAAATTAATCCAAAAGAATTGTAGCCAACAGTAAAAAAAATCACTTATACAAGTGTGTATGTACCTGTGGTTCTCCACTCACTTAATTTCTATGTAATGAATACAGCAAGGAATTCTGTTAACTTTTTTAATTAGTTTTCTGTTTAATGAGATCTAAGATTTTCGCGAGTACTCAAATGAAACTAATATTTTCGGATTTACTACGCGATATTTTTTTATTATTATAAACTACATACACCCGACGTTTCGATGCTTTTTTTAGGCGATACTTTAAATTTTCAAGTCATGAAAATTATTTTATTTGTTTTTCAGAAATACAAATTACAGAATAGTTTTTATGTAAAAAAATAGCATAAGTAAAGATAAACTATAGATGAAACATTTTTATGACCATTACAAAAAGCATTCTAATGACCGTATCATAAATTTAACCTTAATTAATTTAAATATTGATATTATGTGGAATTGTTTTATTCTGTACTCGGCTCTCATTTGGATTAGGTACACTTTCGATAAAGTATTTTTTTCTTGCCCAGTATTTTATTTAGAATCGTTTTATTTTTCTTTATATTGATTAAAAATCACAATATTTTCTTAAAATCTTATATCTTATACGATTGTTTCATTACAGTTGCTATTTGCTATAAAAGAAAAAACTCCAAAATGAAACGTTTCATGTTGTTTCGTGAGTAGTCTTTTAACCATTTAAATTCATGAATCTACTATATTATTCAAAACTTATAAAAGTACTAAGAACATTTTACTTTAATTCCCATGTGTTATATTATAATATTACATATTTTAAAAACATACTTTAAATTTGCTATATAATTTATTTTAAATGTACCTAGTGTTTTCTTTGGTAATAAAGGTATAAAAGCGAGAATATATTTTATTATAATTGATTTTGTCGTAACTATTTCTTAATTATGTTAATCACCACAACTTCGATAGAATTTTATTGAAGAAACATTACAGAATTACAGTACATACAAACATATTTGTCTTTAATATTACAAATACTTATTAGTTTCAGTGTTTTCCTTGGCTGTCATGGCTATGGCTAGCGAAACGACTTTAAACGAGATGCTTCTTAATAGCAATACCCAATTTACATCAAAAATGTTTAAAGTAAGTTGATTTGTTAAGTTTATATACATAAAGATATTTACTTTATTTAGTCAGTATATAATTTACTTTATTAACTGAATATTTATTTAGTCAGTATTTATTTTATTTAGTCAATAATAAGTAAAGGAATTTTATTATGCCTAAAACTTTACTAAATATACACGTTATTACGAGTATAATGTACATTACACTTAATATTATTACTTCAGGAAGTTGTAAAAGCCAAACCAGGACAAAGTGTAGTGTTATCTGCTTTTTCGGTTCTGCCACCTCTTGCTCAGCTTGCTCTAGCATCTGTTGGGGAATCACACGATGAACTTCTTAATGTAATTGAAATGCCAAACGACAACGTTGTAAGTTTATAAAACACCCAAAAGACGTATAGATACTTATAGTTATAAGAAATATTTTAATAGAATAATATAATAAAATATTTTTTTTAGACAAAAGCAGTATTTTCAAGAGCAAAACCTGTTTTGAGATCAGTAACAGGAGTAACTCTTAAGATGGCAAGCAAAGTCTACGTGGCTGAGTATTATGAATTAAACAGTGGTTTTATCGCTCTTAGTCAAGATGTTTTTGGATCTGAAGTTGCTAATATTGATTTTTCTGAAAATGAAAATGCCGCTAACAAAATTAATCAATGGGTATATAAAATAAATCATGTCATAAATATGCCCTAGGTCCAATTCAATCTAATCCAATATATTCTAGTAGATTTTAATAAATTACTTAATATGTTTCAGGTTGAAAATCAAACAAATAATCGAATTAAAGACTTAGTAAGCCCCTTATCTCTCGGTGCTGACACTAAAGCTGTATTAGTTAACGCAATTTACTTTAAGGTTAAATAGATAATTCTTAATATGCGTAGTTTAGTGTCATTGAAATATTCTTGCTTTCTTATCGATCGTTTTTTTTAAGGGGGCTTGGAAAATTCCTTTTGACAAAAAAAGCACAACAGACAGAGATTTCCATGTGAGCAAAGAAAATGTTGTTCAAGTACCCACTATGTACAATTCAGACACCTTTTATTACATTGATAGCGAGGAACTAGACGCACAGGTATATTTGAATTTTTATATGATATGCATTACATTTAAACACTTCAAAAAATTTCATTCTATTTGGTGATTAATAGGTATTGGAACTTAAATATGCTGGAGAAGATTCTGCTCTGTATGTTATCCTTCCACATGAAGTAGATGGCATTAACAAATTGGAAGAAAAACTCAGAGATCCATCATTATTGGACAGTGTTATTAGTACCATGTCTGCATTAGAAGTTAAAGTTTATCTTCCTAAATTTAAAATTGAAACAACAATAGATCTCAAAGAAGTTCTGGAAAATGTAAGTATCTGAGTAAACAAAGGGTGTTTTGCATTTTCTTCGAAGTAAAACAAATAAAAGTCTTTTACCAGATGAATGTAAGGCGACTATTTAATTCTGACGAAGCTAGACTCGAAAATCTCTTAAAGACCGTTAGTGATTTGTACATTAATGATGCTAAACAAAAGGCATTTATTGAAGTTAACGAAGAAGGTGTCGAGGCCGCAGCAGGTAATGGTAAGTTAAAAAGTATCATAATTATTTATTTTAAATAGAAATCAAAGAATGTACATATAGCTACGGCTCCATATGACATAAGTGACGTTATATTTTAGTTTTTATTTTATAATTGGTGGTAAAAATTCTAACCGAGAAATTACCTTATAGAATGAAAAAACTATTACATGTTTAAGAATTAAAATTAAAATTTATTTTCTCAATTATAAATATTCTCGAAATTGAAAATGAGAACGATATATCGGGGTTTTGTTATGGCGGTTTTTTTATTTAGGTTAGCGGACTTTAAAACTATGTGATCCACGGGCTTCCCACAGTCAATAAGAAAAATATTAGTTAATTTGTGTGTTAGCCACCCATGAAAGAGTAAACCCGTTTTTCTTAACTCCAACTTTTAAAAATTAATCTTGCATTACACTGAACGCTTTATTATTAACATTAAAGTGTTCTCGTGGTATTTATTGGTGTTGTAAATGTTATTAAAGAGACATGCAAAAAGTTTGTTGGTAACCAGCCTAAAACTAGACTAGCCTTGGGAATAGTTATAATTTGGTCATAATTTTGGATATCAGGCGCATTATGTGAACAATGTAAAAAATAATAATTTTTAAATTTCCCATGCCTTTTGAGCTGTCATTATTGATAACATTTTTCTTAGAAATAAAAGTAGACAAGTAAAAACAAAGTTAGATAAATATTCAATATTAATACCATTTTAATTTGGATTTTTGTATGACATGTTATATATTTGTATTCAATAAATGATATATAAACATATTTATAATAATAAGTTATAATTATTTGACACACTTTTAAAGTAGGTGCGGTTATAATATATATATATATATATATATATATATATATATATATATATTTATGTTTCAAAATATATGTATTTTAAATGTTCTTTACCATAATTTTTTGCAAAGAAAAAACCAAGAGTATAGTATACGAGAATACTGTCAGTGATGTAGTTGAAATGCCCAATGGACTTAAATATATTTTTTTCATTTCAGTACATAATGTTATGATAGCGATGCCGCTTCTTCCCTCAACACTTGTTTTTGATGCTAATAGACCATTTGTTTTTGTGGTAAAAGGAAGTGACTTGTCCTTATTTATGGGAGTTTATGTTGGAAATTAAAAATTTAATAAACGATAACAATTAATTTGACTTTCTTTATTAATCCTATAAATTTTCCAGATAAGTTTGTGAAAATTGACCTAAAAATGTCGAGAATCAGGACTTTAATTCTTATGAATATAAGGCAATATTGAGAGAACAAATTTTTGTTTATACATAAATAGATACAACTATAGTATGTATATGAAAAATATGATTGTACAAATCCAAACTATCTTCCTTTAATTCACTTCATATTACCAAATAGTCAAAGTATTTTTACATGTATAATGGACTACAAAATATGTTGAAAGTATTACTAAGAATAAAATCAACCTGTTGCCGGCCACTGTTGGTAAAAACCCTTCTACAAAATTTCCTAACTAGCCTGGGCCCCGCATGGCAAAAAATACGAATTCTAATCTCTTGTCAACTGCCGGATTTTTTACCTTGTTCACTTTAGTGCACACTGAGTTTTCGAGAAATATGTATTGTACATGTACATGTATGCAATTGGTTCTTAAAGGCAATCGGTCTGTATGACCGAAATATAATCATAATTGAATTGTGTATTTTTTTAAACTTTACCACGTCAATTATTTTATTAAATTCCATTAGATACCCTATGTACGTGGTATGTAAATTAAAATTGTACATAATAGTCGCTTTAAAATTACATATTACAAGTTCTACTAAAAAATGATAAAGGTTCGGTGTGCTACTAGTGTGTGCCGCAATAAATGACAATATTTTGCTGTATAAACCATCACGCCTATAATCATACACAGTCAATTATAAAGATATACAAATGTATAATGCACGGTGAAAGCGTTTCGGGTCTCGTACTGCTTATACAAGAAGTCTTTTAAATATACATAATATGTGGCTTCTACCATAAGGAATATTATGATTTAGAATTGCTTAAAACGAAAAATCTGTCAGTCTAAAGGGTGAACAGTATATAGAATAAATAGAAAATTATGAATTCTTATAAAGATTATATAAAAAAGAAAATTAAAACATGCTTCCCTTTTAAACTAAGATATGAAAATTTTACTTCATTTATGTTATTATGAACTAAACATATTTCATTCTATCGCCATAGCACTTTTTATTTTTTTTAATTCACTGAGGTATTTTGAAAATAAAGGCATTTTCTTACTTATTATTATTTACAATATACAAAATGAAACTTCTTACCTTTATAACCTCGTTGACCATGACGTTCAATCATACTTTAAACGTATATGAATATTTACTTTATTTTTGGACTAATCATTTGGTTTGAACCTTTTGAGTAGATACTTTTTCCATTTAACTTCTTCTTCTTCCTCTACCTGGTAATTTCTCAGCTATAGCCAGGGTCTGCCTTACATGTTGTGAATAGTTTTTTTTTTGGCTATTTGTTTTTACGACCGGCTGCCTGCCGGACATCAACCCTCTTTAGGGAATCAACATTAATCAGTGATGTCTAAATACTCTTAGAAAGTACATATGATTCGGAAAAATCACATTGGTACTGGGCCAGGATCGAACCCGCCCCTCGGCGACGAGAGGCGGGCCCTTTAACCACTGAGCCACCACTGATTTTTCCATTTAACTATTTGACTAATTCTCTCATTGCAACGACATATTATGTTCTGGAAGATAAAATCGCTTCAAATAAAAACGCATAATTAGAAGTTATTGTCATTGTTACTGCAGTTATTTAGTTTCTATCGTTTATTTCCCATTTAGTGTTTAGTGTTAATTTTAATTGTAATAGTAAATAAATGTAGACTAAACCTAGAACTGTGACATTTTTAAGAAGGTTTTATACCGACAGTGAATGGTCTCAAACTACATACTTTAAGACATTTTTATTGAAACTGCCATTGAAATACGGGGTTAGATTCTTTGGTTCGTATAACTTCAATTAGGGTGACAATAATAGTTCTGGAAAATAATGCCCTAAGGCCTGGTGGCCTCTAGAAAGTAATATCTTTGATTCAAAATGCCAATACTGAGTAAAAATTTCGAAACCTTTTCATTACCACTGAAATATTGCGTAAAATTCCATAACACAACCTTAGAAAATATATATATATTTACTTGGTAATTTCAGAGAAGAGCCAATAAAAGGTTCCAGGAACTTTCAGGAGGTTTCAATTTTATTTATCTATAAAGGAATTAGTAAACATGTCACCTTTCATACGTGCTATATTTACAGTTGCCCACATTATCGGCTTCCATATTGCAATAATTTCGGTGTCTTTGGACTGAATAATGATGTATAAGATTTATTCCTATTATTTTTATATAATAAATCTAATAAGAGATTTGAAAAGGGTAGTAGAAAATAATTTTGATAAAAATTACATATTTTCAGAATAATTTTAGTACCTCCTCATAAGCGCAACTCATGGTCAATTTTATTCCGAATTTTATTATTTTTTCGCCAAAATACAAGCCATACTGTATACACTGGCCGTTATTCAAAATATATTTATATACTCAAATAACTGAGATAAATTTATATGATTTATAAAAAAAAAGTATTTATTAATTTTATTCCACAAATTTAACAAATACTTTTCGTTATTGATCGATTTATCGAATTAGTTCAACTCAGTTGAAATTGCTGTTTATTAATAACTTAAATTTAATGTGTGTTAAAACACAATAATAGAATCTTTAACATTTTAATGACGGAGCTATTCAAATGGTAAAACTTTAATGATGTTCTAGCGATTTTTGAGAATTTTTAGTCTATACGATACAAGATTTTGATAAAACTTTATCATACATGTAACATTATGAGGACTGTAATACATATATTTAGTACATATTAACTGATGCAGTTGCGGTTGCAGTAATTTGGTTAACGAAAACAGTTTAAGTGAAATCTTTCTTAATACTACTAACAAAATCATATCAACAATTGTAATTTAAACTTTGTGTAGATATTACTTTAGTACCATTATTTGCTTTAGTTAAGTTTAGTATTATCTGCATTTTAGGTGTTATCACATATTTACCGATGAAAGAAGAAGAAGAATTAAAACAAGAAGCTCTTCTTTTCATTCGCCTACAGATGTCAAAGCAAGATGTTGCAAAACTTTCATTTTCTTTTAGTACCTCCTGTCATAAAAATATCATCTATCATCTTATATACATTGTTAATTAAAGTGATACTTATATTCTTATTATAATCACTAAATCACAATTATCTTTGAGGTAAACATCTTGTTCCTGACGAAATACTTCTTGAAAGTAACAGCTTTTGATCTAAACATTTGCTATGATGTCATTTGATATGATCATTGGGCTAGAGTAAGAACTGACCCAATTAAAATAAATTAGTTCTAATTAATCCAGATAACTAAAAAGGGGTTGATGCTTCAGTAAAAGTTACTTTAATTAAATATCATTAACATAATCGATTTCAGGAAAAAACTCTGGTAGGGACAACATACAAACAACATAACATTCCGTATTTCTGTATTTATTTTAAAAATATACGAATAAAATTTTGTCTGCTTACATATGAATGTAGATAATAGTGAAAAAATTTACCGATATACATGTTAAGTATGTTACGTCGCACTTCCTGAATTCAGATTTATAATTATTTTTTTCTTTTATTTATAGATTTTTTATTGAGAAAGAAAAAATATTAATGAGATCTAAAATTTTCACAAGTATTCATTGAAATAAAAGTAATATTTTCCGGATTATTTTTTATTTAAATGGCACAACAACAGTACATACATTAAACACTTAAAACATTTAAAACTGACACTTACCTGATGTGTGTATCAATTATAGACGTACACAGCAAAATTTTACTTAAACAGGATTTGACAAAACATCACAAATTTTTCGCTTAAACTTCGGC